CCCCCCTCCACCCCGCCGCCCCGCGCAACCCCGGCTCCCGTGCCCAGCGCTCACCCCAGCACCACCAGCTCCCCGTACTTGACGGGCTCCTTGTTCAGCGCGCACAGCTCCTCCTGGCTGGGCGAAAACATGGGGCCGCCGCCACTGCGGTCGCACCGACGGCCGCCTTTTCCCCCCCCACCCCCGCCAGTCCCGTCCCAGCCGCCGCCGCGGGGCCGCGTCCCGAGCGGGCTCCGCTCCGCTCTGCGCCCGCGGCCGCCGGCAACGGACACTACACCGCCGGTAGGGGGGGGGGAACGGAGGCGGGGCCAGCGCGGGCACGGACCAACCCGCCGCGTCGGGGGAGGCGAGAGGGGAGCATCGCGAGTGGCCCCGCCCTCCCCGCGCGTTTTAATGGCCGGTGGAAGGGGCGGAGCGAACCACGCGGAGCGCCGCCCCCTTCCCGCGCGCCTCACCACCCCCCCCCGGGCACGGCGAGCAGTGGTACGGCCCGGCCGTGTTATGTAAACATAGAGTAACGGGGGCCCGGCCGCTCTTAAAGGGGCCGCGCACCCCGCGGGACCGGAGGGACCGAAGGGCTCTGATCATCTCTGATGGAGGGGGTTCTGGGTCACACCTCACGATGTGTTCCGGATCACCTGTGAGGTCACAGATCGCCTGAGGGTGTCCAGGTCGCGGCGGTGTCTCCAGCACTGCCGCCTGACCCAGGTTTAGGTCACCTGCGGGGCCGGGTCGCTTCTTGTCTGTGCCGCGGGTTCTGCATGACCTCCCCGCGCCTTTGGAGATCTGTGGTGCTCTGGGTTCCCCTGGGGAGCTCCTGGGTCACCTCCTGCCCCAGCGGGAGGGAGCTCGGACCACCACCCACCTCCTGCGCCTTCCACTTGGTCTCCAGCAATGGGGCACCATCAGCTTCTGCGCTTGTGGCTGGGGAACGGCCGCTCCCCTGTCTCCCATCCCTGGAGGTGGCAGGAGCCCACCTTCCAATCCCTTCTGCCCATTGTCCTCTTCTGAGGGTACAGAAATGCCCCCACCCCCTTTGTTCAATAGTAGTCTTGAAGGTCCTTTCCAACCCAAACCATTCCATGACTTAGAAGGATTCCCCCCCACCACTGCCTTCTCTCCTCCTTTATCCTCTGTGCCCAACTAAAGCCCCAAACCAACAAAGATTGGCTTGGCATTGATCAAAGTCGAGGATAGAAATCCTCATTAGCCAATATTGGGGGTCTCCAAGCCACTTACAAAGACAAAACTAATCTCAGCATCCCCCGCGCTGCTCCTGGCCTTTCCCAGGGAGCATCCTCTGGGGTGGCAGAGTCTGACCCAAGATCGAATCCTGTTCCTCCTGCTGAAAGCTTTCCCTCCACCAGAAATTGTATTTAGCTATTAATTTTCCCCAGTAATGTTATTTTTCTGTCGTTCTGGTGAAGAGGTGAAATGGAAAAACCCAACCAATCTCGCAGGGCCACACAATGGAGATCTTCCCAGGGGCTGTGTGAAGAAGACAAGATTTTATTAAAGACAGGGAGCTGAATTATTGCAGATTTATCTTCTTTATTGCTCTAACAGAATAGAAAAGAAACCCGGGCTGCAAGTCACTGTCAGAGAAAACAAATACATCCCCAAAAACAAGGTGAAAAACAAACCTCCCGGCTGTATCCTCTTCAGCTTCTCCATTTCTCCCCTGAAAGCAAGACCTTCACAGTAGCTTGGCTTTCACATGGCATAAACAAACCTCCAACACTCTTCCAAAAATCGCTCCCAAACAGCTCAGCTGGGCTTCCCTGAGTCAAACCTGGCTGGACTTGGAACATCTACCCCATGTGGAGATGGAGGGATGAGGAAGGACCTGCAAGATCTGATTTTCCTTCTTTCTCCCACTTTTTCAGTCTCTAACACTGAGCTTTTTGTAGAGCAAGGGAAAGTTGCACACAATTTTACACACAAAGTTCATAACCCCAAGGTTCTGCACCCTTTGGCCAAAGCTATTTTTTTTTTTTTCAGCTGTCATTGAACACAGAAATGCAGAAATTATTAAATACAGCAAATAGTGGTTTGCATTGCTGAAACATAACACTAATAAATTCAGAAAATGTGCTCCTTTGCAATGCTGAAAAAAAAAATAAATACAGAAGATGCTCTTCTTTGCATTGCTGAAAAATAAATGTGCAGGGGAAAGAGCCCAGCAGGATTCACAGGGGAATATTTGCATCTGATTTATTGACGGGAGGTGGATAAGCTGCGCTGGGATAAGGAGTCACACACCTGCCACGTACCTGTGGTGAGAAACTGTGCAATAACTCCTGAGCCTGGGCTGATCCGTTATTTTTTTCCTTGGAAATGTGCTTCCTTTGTTCGTGCCCAATCCCTTCATTCTGCACCTCCCCACGGGGTGTTTTAGGCTGACAAGTGAAGAGGGAAGATGAGCCCCGCAAGGTGTTTTAAGGACTGCTGGTCTTTTCCTCCCAAACTGGAGCTTTTCTCATTTCAATTCCAATAGGACCAATTGCTCCCAGCACTGGAGACACGCTTTTAATTGTTTAATTTTTAATTTTTTCTAAAATTTTGGGCTAATGAAGCAGAGCCAGGAGGAGGGAGCAGATCCCTGACCCACACGGACCACAGCCCCAAATCCCAGCACTGCTATTCCCTCCAGCTCCGAACATTCCTTTTGCAACTGGTGCGAGCAACACTTGGCTGGCATTTTTCCCCAAACCCATTGAAATAATTGAGAAATATCCCCACAGCTGCATTCTGTTGGTTTTTTCTTCAGCTCAAAATGTCTCGTGTTTTCAGATTCAGGATGGCTCAGCGTGGCTTTTGAGGGCTGCAAAGGGAGGTTTGGTAGTTTTCCACTGGAAGTGAGAATCACAGATAACTTGGATCACCTTCCCAGCAGCATCAGTGCTGTGAGAGGGAGTTTGCTCCCAGGTTTAGCAGGAGCAGCTGCCTGGCTGGATGGAGGGGTATCCAGCCAAGCCAGACGAGCATTAAAATCAATGTTTGGGGGAAAAAAAAAATAAATCTCAAACATGAAGAAACAGTACATGCCCATTTATTTTTAAAATGTTATAAAAAAGTTATTTTAAATGCAGGAAGATTAATAAGGCTCTAATTCAGCAAAGTACTTCCAGATGTGCTGGACTCTGGGTGTACTTCAGGGCTTTTATGAATCAGGGCTTAGGGAACGGGTTTAAAATGCAGAGAACTCATTGAAAGAGGTTTTTACACTAAAAGAGGGCAGGTTGAGATTGGATATTGGGAAAAAAATCTTCCCTGTGAGGGTGGGGAGGCCCTGGCACAGGTTGCCCAGAGAAGCTGTGGCTGCCCCATCCCTGGAAGTGTCCAAGGCCAGGTTGGACGGGGCTTGGAGCAACCTGGTCTAGTGGAAGGTGTCCCTGCCCATGGCAGGGGGGGTGGAATGGGATGATCTTTAAGGTCCCTTCCAATCCAAACCATTTTGGGATTCTTTGAGTCTAAATAGCCCCTGAATCACACCTGCAGCTTCCACTGCACATGAAATTCATGTGGATCAGCACATAAATAGGGATAAAGGTTTCCATTCCCAACCCAGTACTATTGACATTCAAAGGAAGGTTTCCAGGAGTGGGATCAGGTTTATGTTCAGCCATCACTGTGGATGGTTGGAAAGTTGATCTCTGAGGTTGCAGCAGCCTGGATTTGGTACTCAAGTGGGGGGAATAAATCCCAGGAAAGGAGAAAAACTGTCTCAGCTCCAAGGTTAGGATTAAGCAGGTATGACCTGTGTGGGTGCAAACCTTTCTGGCTGGAAAGTCTCCAGCTGGCAGGTTGGAGAGGCTCTCCAGCAGCCATCAAGTGGAAACAAGAAATAGCTGTGTTTTAAAAAGAAAAGGTGTTTTAAAATTAGATTTGATAAAGAAACTACAGGAAAAATAAGATGGGATTGCTCATAATGACGTGTGGGGGGGACCCTCTAAATCCCGTGTTTCAGAGCTTCAGTGCCTAAAACAGATCAGGCTAAAAGAGATTTGCTTTTTCTTACACCATTTGGGCATCACTTGAACCTCCTATCATCTAACTCTCCACTGTGGCATATAATTGTCTTGATTCCCAGTAACATCTAAAATTTAGAGAGGAGAATTGCATTAAAAAAATAAGTGGAAGAGCTAAAAGGATAAAATACTTCCAAATACCCCAGCAGCAGCTTAAAGATATGGTACAGACTCCAGCTTACCATGTAACACTACTTAATAAAGACCCTAAAAAGAATTTAGGTAGCAGAGTGAGGAAGGCTATCAGGAACAAAAAAGATAGGTGTCAAAATTGAGGAAAACAGAATATAGCATAAACACTGGCAAATATGAAACCACAATAAGGGAAGTGGAAAAAATATTGCAGAGCAGTTTGCCAGAGGCATAAAAAAAAAAGCACATAAAAACATAGAAGAGACAGAAAGTCAACCAGGGACTCACTGGGACCAGCAAAGAGTGAAAGTGAGGAGGAAGTTTTGGGTGAAACAAAATGCTGGTGGGTCAAGTAAATGAGCTTCACATGAGCTGGAGATGGAGATTCCCACAGCAAAACCCTCATTAGGGTCATCAGACTCTGCAATGAGTCTGATAAGCTTCTTAAATACAAGTGTCACCAACAAAGATTTTGGAATAAACAGGTAAATTGAGAGAGGAGCACATTTCCATGGTGAGATGTCACTGGCCCAAGTCTTGGAAAGAGATTCAAATGTAATTCTATGAATAATTGGATCTGTATAATTATATTTTACATAACATTATAGTTGTATAAATACAGTGTTCTGTATTTATATAATTCTATGAAGGATTGTATTTGTCTGCAGGATAAGAAATAACAAACTTGCCACTGAAGGAATAAGGCTAAGAGCTTAAACTTTAGGAGTTTAGGTCTGAGTGGAAAATACAATCGAGTTCAGGTAAATATGGATACCTGGGATGCAGTGGGAAGATCTGATACAGCAGGGAAAGGGCAACAGGGGGCTTTTGCAGAAAGAAGTCAAAGTTTATAACACATTCACACCCCCTGGAGCAGTCAGTGAATATGCTGGAGATGGTGATTGCACGTGTATCACATTCCTGGGGTTCAGGAAAGCTTTGCCACTGCGAGAGCTGTCAAAGAGATAAAAGTAGCACGAGATAAAGAAAGGCCTTCATGGATTAGCAGCTGAGTGCAACAGAAACCAAAGGCTGGAGGTA